CTAGTCATCCCACTGCCCAGAGGCGTGATCTCTTCTCCCTGGCCTCTGTCCTGCTGCCTTGAATGCCCTTCTCCCTCTTTTCCTCACCAGTTGCTGCTTATCCTTGGCTCAAGCATCAGCTTCCTGGTACAATCTCCCAGACTCACCCCGCCTCACATCTGTTTCAGGCGAGCATGGGAACAGTCCCAGTTTATGAATTTTGAGCTATATTTAAAAAGATAAATAGCCAACAGAGTGCCAAGGGTTCAAGTCCCAGTTCTGATTCTAACATCTTAATGTGGAATGCATTTGATTTCTGTAACCCATATGGAGAGACTCTACTCCTGCCTCTAGCCCATGCCATTCTTGCTGTTGTTGGCCACAAGGAGGCTGAATCAGCATATAGATGGTCTCTCCACCTCTAGCCCCACTACATTCCCCCTTTCCATCCCTCTCTTTAAACTATATATATATAAACTATATATACATATATATATACACACAAAAAATATATAGCATTTTAATTAGAAAGTCAGATTTACAGACAGAAAGATCTTCCATCTACTGGTTCACTCCCCAAGTGGCCGTAAAGGCCAGAGATGAGCCAATTCAAAGCCAGAAGCCAGGAGCTAATCCTCTACCTGCTGCACCCACATCCCATATGGGGACCAGTTCTAGTCCCGGCTTCTCCACTTCTGATCCAGCTCTCTGCTTATGGTCTGGGAAAGCAGCAGAGGATGGCTCAAATGCTTGTGTCCCTGCACCTATATGTGTGACCAAGAAGAAGCTCCTGGTTCCTTACTTCAAATTGGCTCAGCCCTGGCTGTTGCTTCCATTTGGGGAGTGAATCAGAAGATGGACGATCTCTGTGTCTCCTTCTCTATCTGTAACTCTTTGAAGTAAAATAAATAAAATTTTAAAAAACAAATAAAAACAAATTTAGAGAATATGTAAACAAAAAAATTGGAACACCAGTTTTCCAAGAAATAGCAGACCTTACTTGTAAGTATTTATCATGGACTGGGGGTGAAGGAAGGACTGAGTGGCCAGAGGATCTGGACTTGGGAGAGGATCATGAACAGGAAAGCTGACCTCAATGTAGAGGCTGGGCAGCCCTGGACAGTGTCCAAATGCAGGGCAAACGCAGATGACAGGTGGTGCTATCTGGAGTCCCGTCCAGCAGGCTGAGCCGAACAAGGGTAGGGGGTTGCACAGGAGGTATGTGAACTTCAAGGTCACATAGTGAGAAGTGATGACTCTGGATTCCAGCAGGAACCATCTCCACTCTCCCACCTGGCAAACATGCCAGCACCTCAGCCAAGCACAAAGAAGTAGATGCTCAGTGCGACAACACCAGTGTTTCAATACCTGAGCACAGAGGCTTTACACTTCCTCAGGAAACAGCTCAGTGAGCTAGGCTCCCAGGTCTCTTCTTTTTCAGCCTCCAACTTTCCTAGGAGACAGGAGACAAGAGCAGCAATCATACAGCAACACGGTGGGGCCATCATGGTGGGCACTTCTTATATTGCATGGAACCAAATGCAGTTGAATCGCCGCAATAAACGCCAGGGAGCCTGGAAAAGGTAGTATAACTTCCAGAAAGAAATGGAATGGGTTTGATAAATTGTTCATTTCTTACCCTTGTCAAACTCGACTCCAGCTTGGGTCTTGCTATAAATTCCAGTCATTCAATATCCATGTGTGTATTTCCACCTGTAAGACCTTCTCAATTGCATGAGAAGGCATGAGAATCACATGGTAGAGGCACAGAGTCAAAGACTCAGTCAGTTCTTGCTGTCATTTCCAGGCACTGTACCAGCCTTTGTAGGATGGGAAGGACCTGCATCCTCAGGGGCTCAAAATCCTGAGGGAGAAAGGGCCTCATGTCCATCCCCTTCTTCAACTGGACTTTTCTTCTCCAAAGGACCTTCTGATTGCTATTAAGAAGCCAGCTCCTGATCACAAAGGCAAGATTTCAAAAATCCTCATTCAGTCCTTGTCTCAACATGCCTCAAAAGATGTGTAAGGCAATGAAATGATTTTCAGAGGAAACTGAATTCAGATGTTCTAAGAGAGGTGTTCAATGTTTGGGTGGTTTGTCACATTATTCCACGAATGGAAGAGCCATATCACAGGAGCAGCATGGTAGGCGTCTCAGGGCTTTTGTATGACTGGGAAAGAACAGAGCGTGGCCTTGTGTATGTTTGTGGGTGTTTATACATAAGATGTCTTACAACTTCTCCGTGGATCTTCCAAGGGCCAAGAACTCAAATTCAGAGCCAAGTCTATGAATCCTGCTTCCATTTACTTGGATACACATGAGAGTTAGCAGAAAGTACTATAAAAATTCAGATTTCTGGGCCCCTCAGGCATCACTAGAGCTATACTCCTACCATCTGTTTTTTATATATGCAACAAGAAACTAGTCTGTGACCTGTCAGACACCAGCCTTCTAGCTGCTGGTCAGTCATCCGACTGCAATCCCACTGCCATTTGTACCAATGTAACATTAGATGGGCTTAACCTCCCTTTCAATGTCTCTTCTCCGAAGTGGGTATTAATTATCCCAACTTATCATCTGTGTAATCTGTAAGTAGTCACTTTGTTATCAAGGTCAGGACAGAATCCAATTGCCTGCTGACTCAACAAAAATTCATCAAGAAAGGAAAACAGTCAAAGTTTATTAAAACATTACAAACAAACATTGGGATTTCACAGCAGATACCACCAGTATCATGCTTCCGGTTAAACCAGCCTTGTGTCAACTTTTACCTGTTTAACAAATGCAATCTTTGTGGTGTTGCTCAAGCAATAATAAACTATTGTTATATTTGGTAAGGTGCTCAAAAATCACAGACTATATGTCTCACACACATATATACACACCCTTATACATACCAGGCCCTTATCAAATGTATAGTTGCTAAATCCAATTTATCAAGTTTCAGGGTAAGCCTTCATTTTTTTAATGTGACATTATGAATTGCCGAGAAAACCTGGAAATGTTGGCCTTGTTCATGGAGGATACCTAGGTGTTCTCAGCAGGAGAGGACAGACTGTGGACAGAAGGTGTTTGTCACATGGAGAACAGAACACCTGGGTGTTGGTCACCGGCTGACCCCAGGGTCAAATCCATAACTCCACACAGAACATTCAGCCTAGCCTACTTTGGGATTGTGCCGATGAACTTTGATAAAAAATGATTTTTCTTAAAAGGGTCATTGGGTGATAAATTAGGTGAACTATAAGAAAAAAAAAAAGCAAATTTTAACTGTCATTTATAGGATGTCTGTTTTGCCCCAAAGCTATGGGAAGGGTGCCACTTAAAGCTCTCAACTTTTCTAAAAGCAGATCCCAGGCTGTTTGCATGTATAATTGCTGTGGGTTCACACTTCACTGGGCTAGGAAGAACCCCTGGGTTATATGAAACAGCCTCCCACCTCTACCCCCGCCCCAACCAAGCCTGCATCCCATCCCATCCCATCCATACTTCACCCACATAGAGTCCTTCTGCACTGAGGGCAGTTCTTCCGAGGTCTGTTGCCTACAAACACAACAGCCCTATCATAATCTTCCTGGTGTGGTTTTTGAATGGTCCAAAGTGGCTACTTTCTCCAGAGGAAGTGATCCTTTACAGCTCTTGGATTCCCTAGCACCTCAAGGCAGTATGCAGAGATGGGACCATCAACCCTGGCCTTTCTTTGCAGAAAGCAATGATAATACAACCTTATCAGTAAATCCTGGGCTGCCCATTCCAAATGATTTCTAAATGAATCATTTTAATGGTTAACTAATTAATTACTCAAAGATGCTTAGGCTGAAATGGTGAAAAATGACAGGCCCTCTAAGAATAGCTGCAGGTAGCAGGTATTCATTTGACCTGGGTTGACCTAAGTCAGGCACGGCTTCCTATCCCATTTAACAGAACTTCCTTGTTTTACAGTTAATTTGCCCCCAGACAGATATGCAGACAATCAGGGACGTGTGTGTGTGTGTGTGTGTGTGTGTGTGTGTGTGTGTGTGTGGTGTGCTGACAAAGTCTTAGGTATAAGGTACCTGTACAGACTCCAAAATGTTTCCATTTTTTAAGATGAAGTAGGTCTCTGAAATCATTCCTGATGTATAAAACATGTTTTATTATCTTTTCATTTTTTTCTGCAGAAGACATTTGTGATGTTCATTTGATACACCTAATTCTGAGAAGGATCAGTTCTCAAACACGGGTTTTCAGCCACCATTTGATACTTCAGGAAGTCTGGGTGGTCTCTGGTGCAATCTGTCAACACTTCTCTACTTAAAGACGCAGCTTTCTGAAAATGATCAGTGTCGTTTACCAAGTTTGCAACTGGCCTCTCACAGAGGAAAGGGCCAACTCGATGCCCACTTGTGTTTCTCACCAACTATCTTTCAGTTCTGCTTATGACTGTAAGAGTTTTCTGCAGAGTTTGCTAGCTATCAATTTGACGGTTTATTTTCATTCTAATCCTCTCTGTTTCTTGCCATTACCTGTCGCTTGGTACAAAGTGGTTATCTACCAGGAATATCCTCTGGCGGAGTTCCCAAAGGCCACAACACCATGAGAGAAGCTTTGCTGATGCACCGACAAAGAGACCACCAGTGCACTGCATAATCAAGATACTCTGGAGGCAGGAAACTGGAACATTCCATGGATAAAAGAGTATTTTTAATCTAGCACAAAATGTTTCTTTGCAGTAACAGCAGAATCTCTTGACATTACACAACTTGATGAAACAAAAGAACAATCATCTTTAAAGTCAAAACGTCTATCAAATTAGAGGCCATATGCCTAGCACCGGGATCGCCTTTCTGCTGCATAAGACACACAGGCCCCCAGGGGAACAGAGCTGCTGGGGGCACCGGCAGGAACGCTCCATTCCAGGAACTCTGGATTTTGAAGTGAACATTTTTGTGGCAGATGCTTTTCCTAAAAAACACTGTATCATCCAATAAATATTTGACTAAAAATCCATTTTGTGCTTTTGGGTGATGTTAGCCGACTCCTTTCAGAGACCTAAGAAGAAAGAAGGAACCTCCTTGTGTATTTCAGAGCATGATTCATCACGGCAAGCCTTGATACTGTTATAAAAATTTTAATTTAAAGCAGAAAACATGCTGATGTGTCAGTGATAGGCTTAAAATATTAAAGACTTCAAAAACCCCCAAGCACGTCTTCTCTGTACAGCACAAGCGAATATATATATCTTTGCTATATAATTTTAAAACATGGAATAGTTTTCCTTTTTCTCTTTTCTATATATAATATATGTCTTCCAAAATACATTGTCAGTATTTATATCTGAAAAATACTGTACAAAAAAAGAACTTCCTATAATTACTCTGTATAAACATTAAACAATTTCATAATCTCCTTTTGGTCTATAGTAAACATTTAGATTGATTGGGTTAACCACAGTCTGTGACACGCCATCCCCTTGTAAGTTACACCAGTGTCTTATACATTCGTTTTTCAGAAGTCTATTTTATAAGAGCACATACGTTCAAAAAGCAAACAAAAAAAAAGAAACATAAGCTCTAGAATCATTAATTTGTGAGGCATTCAAAGAGGATACCATGAGGAAAAAGGGTCTTAATGAAACATCAACTTATTAACCGATTTTTTTAAAACAGCAAAGTATAATTCACAAAAAAATATATATATTACCAAAAATGGGAAATTTGAATCTTAAGTACTCAGAGTGTCTTTGAATATCAAGGGAGATAAGGAAAAGGTTAGCTAGAAAAGTAGGAGGTGGATGAGGTTTGGGAGAGAAAACCAAACGTGGCAACATCCAAGGATGGGCAAGACACTTTTTTTTTTCTGGCTTGTGGCCTGAGAAATTAACCCTTCATTCTTTGACCTCGCGTTTCTCTCTGCTTCGCTGAACTGGGGATGCTCTGGTCATGCTCAAATGCGTTAAGTTTTGTTTTTAAAAGACAGTGAGATCCTTAGGCAGGGAAAATGTCCTACGTCCACTAGTAATACTCAGGCAGCATGCTCTAGTGCACAGCAGGGTTATTGCTTTAGGTACAGACGGTGCACGGACACACTCTGTGTTCTACGACAGTACTCTGACTTACTTATCTGGGACTGGAAGAATTAAAAGGAAACTTATTAGCAGTAAGTAAACTTGGGATCCAAGAAATCTAAACAGCACTTTAAATTTGAAGACGATTTCCACCAAAACTCAAAATAGGAGGAAAGCAACCTGTGAGTAGAAACGCAGTGTAGTGTGAAGTCAGTTGTTTGGCGCACCTTGTCAGCTGGAACTCTTGAGAACTGAGACCCGCCCAGGCAGCAGGGGCCCCTCAGGGTGAACCCAGAGTCCTGACCGAGTAGGAAAGCTGGAACACGAAGCCATAGGGAAAGGGCAGGAGCTGAGAAAAAGGATGGGGAGGAAGACTCCTAGAGTCTCCAGGGTTTAGTAAAAACATGGCACCTTCCTTTTTTTGGAACTAAAACAGAATGAGGGGACTACCTAGAAATGGCAAGTGCAAAGGAAACACACACGCGCGCGCACACACAATCTCACACACATCCCGGCATGAGCACATGTACACACACACACACACACACACACACACACACACACACACACACACACTTACATACGGATGTACACCAAAACGTGAATCGATTGTGTTTATGCCTCTGGTAAAGTGCTGATGTCAGAAAGGTTGGTTTGGGTGTGGAGCTATCAGACAGGAAACGAACTGTCCATCCATTCCAAAGCTAGCCCACAAAAATGCCCTCCTACAGGGGCCCGTGCCTGGCCTCGTACTTGGCAAGTATGTTTTTGCACTTGCCCAGCTCCTTCCTCAAGTCAGCCACCTCCTGGCGCAGGGCCGAGTTCTCCTTCTCAAGGAACGAGGCCCGGATGGCAATCTGATTCTCCTTCAGCCGGCGGGCGTCACGGGAGCGCTTGGCCGCCATGTTGTTCTTTCTGCGTCTTGCCCAGTACTTGTCATCCTGCTCATTAGTTGCAGAAGGAGAAACAAAAACAAACAAACAAAAGAAAGAAAACACAAAGGCATTAGATTTCAGTGGCAGGGAGCATCAGCCAGGAGGCTGGCAGGCCTTCAGGGCTGGGCTGAGGCTCATACCGGGGCTTACTTCCTGCCATCACAGGCTTCTGCCCTGTTTGCTTCTTAGGGGCTGTGCACCCCGAGGTAGAAGTCATGGGTTGGATGAAAGCAAGCGTCCTGCTTTGCACCCTGAATTGCATGCCAACTTTCTCTACCACCTTTGCTGAAGTTTTCATTTGCAAAGTACTTTCAGCCCCTGAGCACTCATTCTGTTTCTTTGGTACAACTTGGCACAATGCTCTCCAAAGGCAATGTGGCCCATCAGTTGGTCAAATGAAGATACTACGGTAAGGTTACTTCTAGGATTGCACCTTATAGCAATCTCGCTCTATGTGCAAGCACAACTTTTTTCTTTTTTAACTGCAGCATTGGTTGTAATAGAAAAAAAAAATGTAATAATGAACTATTTCTCTGTAGGAAATTTCGTAAGTATTATGTTAGAGTCATACACTGGAATACTCTGCTGTTGTTCAAAATAATTCCCAAGTGGCATCAAAAGTTATTTAAGTTACAGCATTATGTGAGTGAGAATAACAGAAATTTACAGGTGAGTACTTATTGCTCATCCCACTTTGATTTAAAAATCACAGTATCATGGATTATAAAAAGAGGTTCAAAAGGATTAGTACCAAGTTGTAGAAGTGATATCTTTGTAATACGTATTACAGGAAAGAAGCAAATAATATTAGTAAGCATCTTTCACCTTTTACTTTGTATCCTCCCAAACCATTACAATATTATATATAATATATATATAGATACTTGGATAATTTAAGGCAAAAAAAATCTTCAACTGGCCGCTTACCAGTATACCCATATGGTTGGCTAACATTTAAGCTACTTAGTCTAATTCCCTATTTCTCTGTAGGTGTGGCCTCAGTAACCATGGACAATGTGAAAATCACCCATCCTTCTTCCCCCATTACTATTCTTTCTAACAAGAGAAAGCTTGCTAAGAAGATAAATGAACCAGAATATTCTTTCAGACTTTCCCAATTCATCGCTAGTACAACCTGACGGCTTCTGCAGCACTCTTCTGATGACCACCTGTCAAAGCAAACCTCAAGCCCTGGTTTAGGGATGTTCATGTAGTCACACACTTCCCTCCCAGAAGACTGGATGGGACCAGTCCTTACCTGCCCCAAGATTCCAAGGGCCAGTTGGCATGGGAAGGTCAAATGGTTCAGGCCCAAGGCCAACAGAAAGACCCCAGGTCAGTGTTCAGCACCTATACCTGCCATTACCCTCAGCAGACACCTGCCCTGTACAGACGGAAAGCATATGCAGGTACCTCCTGACCACTTCTCACAAGCGGCAACAGACATCTTACTTAAAGAGCATTCCCAGCTTTCCACACACTTTATAATAATATGAAGCAGGATGAAAAAACACCTTCAGAAAAGTTGGTGCATCTTCCAAGGGAAGGCATGACCCTTTAAAGAAGTTCACAACAAGTGTGTCCAACTTGGGCAGGGCTGCAACGGATGTTGGTAAAATTTGCTGGCTATGAACCAGTAGAGGAGCAGAGGAGCTGGAGGAAGGCGGGGAGGGTGAGGGCAGCCAGGGAGTCCGTGGTGCCATGTGGGAAGGGGGCCCAAAGGAGAAGTTTACCAGAGTGAAGTACCAATCCCGATGCCACCCACTTCACAGTGCCAGGGAGGACATCACACTCTCCTTGCCTGAATATGCTTTCCAGGGGCTGACTTAAGGAGCATCACAGACTGCATAAGGACACAGGAGCCCTGGAAGGGAAGGAATACCTGAGGACATGCATGCAGGCAGTAGGGGATGGGGATGAGGTACTGCCATAGACCTGCTCAGGTCTGTGACGTTGCTCCTCAGGTTTTGAAGGACGAGGGAGTTTGCTACAGATCTAAGGGTAACAGCCAATTGGCTCTCCCTTGGAGTTTGTCTCACAAATATCATGCTTCCAACCTTCTACCCTCACCTGTCCACATGCGCAGAGGAACCAGCAAAGGAGACAGAGAATAAACCCAAAGGGGAGGAGCGGAGTCAGGAGTGGGGTGCGTCCAGGGATACTGGAGAATGACCACAGAAGGAGTGTCCTGATCTAAAAACACTAACTCACCTTCCTTCGTCAGTTCCCAGTGGCTTTGGAGCTGGGGAGGCAGGTCGGGAGTGCAGGATCCTGAGCAACGTTTACATATTTGGCACTCATCCTCTGCACTGTGCCCTTCTGTCTCCTAGGGGCCAATGCCAGTCAGCTATATAGGACCCCCGCCTGGCAACGACTGGCTGTTATGGTCCCCTCAGACAAGTCAACACTCCCATTGTATCACCTGACTTGGGTTCCGTGAGGACAGGAAACCCATGAGACTTTACATTTTCTGGTGTTTCTACGACACACTGGTCTGTTTTGATTGACTATTCAAATGTTTTTGAATATGTTTGGTTGACTATTCCCAGCCTCAAAGGTTGTATTCTAAGATGCTTCCAAAGCAAAAACTTTCTGAGTACCTACATGGTATCACAACATGAAACTAAAGTTACTAAAAATAATGTAGGAAGCTACCTTCGGCTAGATAACCTGGATCCTGGGTAGGCCTTCCTGTACTTGGTGGGATGCAGCCCCGATAGGGTTCCATTCTGCATCAGTTCCCATCACATCAGACACGTGATGGCAGCAGTGACCTAAAGCTGCCAGGGACCTCGGCCTCCAGGGTTCTTTCTAGACATCAAAGACAGGAGGAACTGATCTAAATCAGTTCAAAGTCTCAAACTCCTACCATATTAGGTTTGATAACAGTAACCAGATTTCAGAAAAGGGCTAATTATGCCTGGTTCCAATGCCTTAGATATGTGGAACTATCTCTCCGTTGTCCAGACAAATGCAAACAAGCATAAATGCTTTAAGTTCTACACAATGGCTAATCAGAAATGGTTCTGTTCAGTGAAGCAGACTTAGCACAATTTTGGAAAGAATTTTCATCTGATAAAAGGTAAATCTGCTTCCTTATATAAATAATGTGTCCCCTTCAACATAGCAGAGAGAAACAACCGAGGATCAGCCTGTTGAGACACTCCGGTGATCACTGTTTGAGAACCAAAGTGAGCACCACTTCGTTTATAAACAGAGTTGGGGAACCCACCAACTTCTGTTGCACCCCTGGACTCTCAAAGCTGAAAAGGTGGAAGGAAGATGTGCTACACCCTGAGACCAACAGGGAAACAGAAGCTGCTAACCATCATCAAATTCCCATAAGGAAGACTACGCTGGGAAGTCCATGTGGTCCACACATCCTCCCTAAAGTGTCTCCTGTGCCCTTCCAAGCTGGGAGGTTTCCATTTGATGGCGTATGGTTTGTGTGGATTCCCTTGCTGACAATAGCAGGTCTGCTTCCTTTACAGAAGGAAGGTCTGCTTCCTGTTTCATTCCTTTCCTTGTTGCTATTCACTCCTAAGGCATGGATGCACCGCTCAGAAGACACCCAAAAAGGAAGCAACACGCCTACCAGCTGCATACCAAGGGCCACTCCCTGTTCATCAACTCCTACGGTTATCCTGGAGTCACACTTCTGATTTCTCTCTTCACAGCGCTCTCCATCCTCCCAGAGTCTGATTACCAGTTCCAATTTACCTTCAGATCATCAGGGATAAAGACTTTGCGAGCTTTCTTGATCATGGGTTGTGGCTTCAGTTCTTCCTCAGAGAACTTGCGTTTGCGAGGGTCAAACATTTCCTGGCCAGGGACGCTGGACAGGGCGAGATCTGCTGGATCCGGTTCATAACCCACTGGGACCTGAATGGTGTCTGGATCGATGGGACTTGGAGTATTGCGGTTTGCTGGCAACAGCTGACCTGGAATAATGCAGACGTTTCGATGAATAAACACTATAGGGAGACCCAGCAGCTGCAACTTAACAATGCTCCCTGCTGACTGGCAAAAGTCTCCAACTAACTTCTCGAAGACTCTCATATCATTGATTTTATTCATCTTTACCGTATTTCCAACAACATAGGGCGAGTGCCACTGTACTCATGCTACACCAGGCAAGACAATGGCATCCAAGCTCACCAACTGGGGAAGTAAAAACCAAATCAAAAATAAATACATTCTTTCTTTCCTATAACATAGCCATGGAGCACCAAGTGTGGAGTTAAATACTCAGCAAGGTGCAACTGACAGGAAGTTCATGAATTCCCCTTCTTAGCTGTTTTCCAGGTGTGTTGGAGAGAAAGACTAACAACTAGAGTGCAGGTGCTTGGAGAGAACCCTGAAACGCATCCAGGGAAACCAGGAGCCTCACCAGGGAGCCTCAGGAACACTCGCCTGAAATGACACTACCCATAGTTGCTTCTTGAGACAGTGATCCACCAAAAAGGCACTGCGACAAGACAGGGTGTGCATTCCTTAAGCAATTCCACATGGTCTTAGGTAGCAAGGAGCACTGAATCGTAAAACCACGCAGACAGAGGGTAGAGGCAAGAGATGTGCCCCCACAAAGTGGGTGGTGGGGTATTATAAAAGGCCCTGCATGTCGCTGAAGGGTTCTAGACATGAATGCGACCAACAGCTGGCATCTGGAAAGAAGACTTGAGTAATGTGATGAGTGGATTGAAGAGGGCATATCTGGAGACAGATGAGACACAAGCCATGCACACATGATGAGTGGCAGTGGAAACCAGGAAGAGGGGACAAGTGAAAGAAATGTTTGACTAATTACAAAAGACAATGTGCAGACAATCTCACTTGTACCAGGGGTTCTTCAGGCCAAACTACTTGGGTGCACATTCACAAAACAATGGGTTTACTGTATTTATGCATCTGTCTTACTCATGCAGGTGACCTCAACACACCCAACTGTTTACATGAGGAGCTCTGAATTTTATAATCACTGCTTTCACACCCAGGGAATAAAGGGGGAGGATACAGCTCAGCTGCTCTTTGGCCCATCTCCTCCTCTTACTCAGAGCCAACAGTGGGTCAATGTGTGAAACGTCCTTTCGTTTTCATTAAAGCTTATCCTTGGCTGAAGCACAAAGCTGCCGGCTCTGATGCTGGCCCAACCGTGAGCCCATGCTTATGTGCTTTTGGCTTGGAAGGGAACTTGGAATACACATGCTCTGTGTGACCTTGTTGGTCCCCACTTGCTTTGCATACTCTTTGTGTGCTGCTTGCCAAGAGGAAGAGATGGGCCCCGAGGCGTTGGCAGAGTTGGTAAGGATTTCTCATTAGCTAAGCTGCTTTTAGGGACGGCTGAGTTCTGTCCTGGACAGTGTCAAACTACATTTAATCTTGCACCTCTTGAGTTTGCCTCTGAAAAGGAATCATATGTCAGGCAAAAGGGGATTTTATTCTTCCTTTAGGAACTCTCTTTGAACTTATTAACAAACCGCCCAATGCCTCATCACTACAGTCACTCTGCCATCAGCTTACAAGTGACGAGTCCCTCTTCTGCCTCTCCAAGCAGCCCCTCATGAACCTTCTCAGGTTTAACTGCTCCAGGTTACTTCAAGTTTCTTCCTAACGTTATGCTACAATCCATCACCTTAGGCTACACACACACATACACACTCACCCTCTTATCCCAGACTACAAAGTATTTCATATCTTCTCTCTTTCATCTCCATCCAGCTCCTCACTATGGTGGTGGGCTGCAGAGCAGTCTCTATTGGGTGGTGGCCCTGTGAGATTCTGGCATTCAGCCAGGGAACAGGCTCACAGTCTCACCTGACATTTAGGCAGAACTCGTTTTTTTTCTTTAACTCTTTCCTATAGAGGGAGTAGGGCTCCCCACTTGCAGAACCAAGAGACTATGGTGAACCATAGCATCAGTCAGCAGCGAAGCCAGGCCCCTCTTCTCTCCAGCATCTGGCATGCTATCTTATGTATATGGATTGTTCATAAGTTAACTTTGCTGGACTCAGGGTTTTTTTTTTTTTTCACCCTTCATTCTAAAATGTCTACAGTGTCATCGGGTAACAGGGGGAGGTGCCTGTTAATGCTCAATTAGAGAATGCAACATGTTAATTTTTAATTATAAAAAATATTCACTGTAAAGTTTCAACAGGAACGTGTCAAAGTTCTCATCTGGCTTTTCTTCTGTAAGTCCTTTTTACAGCTGTTCCCAGAGGTGATGTGCTTTAACTGTTAAGTGTGAACCTCTCATGGCTTGGTTTTTATAGAGAAGTGATTTAACAAAAATGGGAATATACTAACCATATATTCTGATTTACTTTTTTGATATATCAATATACTGCATGGAACCTCCTTGTATTAGTACAGATAGAAGACTTAGGGTTTTTTTTGAAAGACTGAGAAGTATGCAGAGTTTGGAAATGCGACAGACTTGTTAATGACCCTCAACTGATGAACTTCCAGGTGTACGTAATTTACAGAAGAGACTTCTCAAAGTGGGAAGACTAATGCAGAAGTATCTGCATTTCATTTTTCTAAAAACTGGCAAACTGTGTTCCCAAAATGTCAAACTTACTTAATAGCTGAATCAATATTTATGGGCACACCACAATTCAGGTTTAGTTTCAAGTACTGCCAACGCGGCGTGTACAAACATCACAGCTGCGTCAGCTTGCATTTCTCTGGTTATGATTGACACTGGCCACAGCACAGGCGTGTTGGACATTCATTTCTCTGTGCATTGCTTCTTAATATCTGCTGCTCTTTTAAAAATGGATTCTGTTGGTCCTTTAAAAAAATAATTTTATGGACAGCCATGGGGCACAGCATGCCCCATGTTGGGGCACCAGCAACCCATATGGGCGTCAGTTTATGTCCCGGCTGTTCCGTTTCCAATCCAGCTCTCAGCTTGTGGCCTGGGGGGGCAGTGAAAGATGGCTCGAATCTTTGGGCCCCTGCACCCATGTGGGAGACCTGGCAAAAGGTCCTGGCTCCCAGCTTCACATCAGCTCAGCTTTGGCTATTGCAGCCATTGGGGAAGTGAAACAGCAGATGGAAGATCTCTCTCCTTCTCTCTATAAAATCTGCCTTTCAAATAAAAATAAATAAATCTTTTGAAATTATTTTTATTGCCACAAAAAGAACAGATTTCATGTAGTTTACAGACATAATTCTAATAATACGATCTTTAAAAAATGTTTTGTGACATTTTAATTTACTTCACAGTCACTGTCTTAATATTCCAAACAATAAAGAGTTCAACAAACAAAAAGTAGAAAGGCCACAGTTCAGTAGTGGTAAAGAATCCAATCTCAATTTCACTTACACATTAAGGGTACGTGTGTATTCATGTCTGGAAGCCCTTCTGGGTCCACTGTGACCACTCAGTGGCTAAAACCTTACACATGCCAAGATCTCACATGGGAACCAAGTTCATGTCCCAGCTGCTCCACTTCCCATCAAGCTCCCTGCTTGGGCCTGGGAAAGCAGTCAAGGATGGCCCAAGGTCTTGGGATGCTGCACCTGTGTGGGAGACCTGGAAGAGGCTCCTGGCTCCTGGCTTTGGATTGGCTCAGCTCTGGCCATGGGGAGTAAGGCAGTGGGTGGGAGATCTTTCTGTCTCTCCTTTTCTCTGTAAAGCTGCCTTTCCAATAAATAAGTAAATAATCTTAAAAACCCTTTTATTAGACTATGGGTTTTATCTTTATATGTTTCATTTATCACAAGATTTTCTCCCACGATGTCGTCCGTGTTCTAACTTTGTAGATTTTTCTTTACTAATAGCTTTTATATTGAATGCAACAATATCCTGAAATACTGTTTATTTTTATGGATTCTGTCTTTCACACTTTGCCCTCTAGTGATTTCTTACCTCTACACACATTCATGTTTTTCCATACTTTTCTTCAACACAACCATACCTTGCATGTATTGCTAGAATTTTAACCCACCTGGAATTTATTTTGGTGGGCTGCATAAGCAAAGGACATTGCTTGCCGTTTTCCAATGCTATATTAGTATAATTAGTACGGTTTGATACTAGTATGATTTGATAATTTCAGAGGGCAAAGTATATCTCACCATTTGCTACTTTTAGAAATTTTTGAGTATTTTTAAACATACACTACTCTAGATGAATTTCAAAATAATTTATTGCGCTATAGCTTCTCAGTCTTTTGGCTAAGATCAAGTGCAGAATAATTTATTAAGTTACATTTAACTTTTTTGAGATTCCAAAATTAGGGCTGAATGAAACCTGCAGGTAAACTTGGGGATAATTGTCTCTAAAACTTTATTTTTTGCTGAGTTTTCCCTTAAGTGTTTTAAAAGTGTTACTGTGTAAATTTCCCTTACGACATTTTCTATTTGGTTATTTATGGTGCACAGAAAGCTACTAATTGTTAAATGCTGAATTTATATTCAGCCACTTTGTTTTTCTATTGGTTTTAATATTTCTAACTTTGGATTTTGGGTCAATGATGAAATCTTCTGCCTCTAGCGAGATTGTGGCTTCCTCAGAAGACTGGTGATGCCCACTTTATCTTCACAATCTTGTGTCTCAGGCCATCAACCAGGCTCTGCAAGATGAAGAGTCCTGTGGAGATTTGCTAATTGTGCAGATCTGCCCCTGAACCAGACCAGCAAATGTCCAAGGGGCCCCAAATCTCAGAAGTTCTCAGCAGACTGAGAATTCTGCAGGAAGCAAACTTACTACTGAGATTGTGGGTCACCTTGTTGACAAAGCGTGCCTGGAAAGGTGTGAGGTGTCTTTACCACCATTTCCGTTTTTTAGTGGTTGTGGCCTGAACATATCCGATTACAAAGTTCTGTAAGATTCCTTTTCTAGTTAGATCTGTTTACCAGTATTGGTTCCTGTAACTCATGCTTACTTATCTGTTGCTTGAGATCTGGTGATTGTTTACGAAACAATAGCTTGTAG